GTGAGGTGAATAATATCTTATTTGACCAGTTTGATTTGCTGTGAAGGTTGTAGTATCACCGAGTAATGCCTTTGGTTTATAATAGTGTATGCAATATGTCTATATTACCTCATATTTAGCTTCTTCATGTGTTTCTCTATGCACTCTATGCACCAAAGTGAATTCCCCGGATGCATAAGACCTACTTTGAACTGATTCTGATTGGTACATTGTTTAATAAACATATATATTATCTTGTCTGTGTGTAGTTTTCCATTGCTGCCATAATACAGCTGCAGCAGATTAAAGAGGATTGGCCTGAGATTAGATTAGATATACTTTATTGATCCCAGCAAGGTCAAAAAGGCATTGCACCTGAATTATAATAAACACAAACAGGGAAAATATGCATGTTAATAATAGGAAGATATTATATACTTCTCTGCATAAAGTTGATAGCTTTAAATATCTTGGTGTATGGCTAGACTCTGAACTTTCATTTAAACTACATATAAAGCATGTAATACAAAAGTCAATTACGGAATCAGTGTTTTACATCCGCTCTCGCAATTGTTTTACGCTCAGTGTCCGAAAGAGAGTTGCTTCTCAACTTATTCTTCCGATTATGGACTATTGTGATGTTGTCTACCAAAATGCACATAAATCAGATCTTGCTCCACTCAACATAGCCTACAACAGACTATGCAGATTTGTTCTTGGTTGTCCTTTTCGTACACATCACTGCACAATGTATAACCAACTTAAATGGCCTTCTTTAAATGTAAGAAGACACACGCATTGGCTTCAGCTGATATTTAAATGCATTTATCTTAACTATCCCCTTTATTTAAAGCAGTATTTTGTACCCTACTCACCAAATCATCAAGTTAGACATTCTGTTCAGATTGATTTCTCTGTCCCCTCTGCAAAAAAATGGATTGGCAGAAGAGCGTTCATGTTCAAAGCCCCAACCGACTGGAATACTTTACCTGCTGCTATTAGATCTCTGTCATCATTGGGTTTATTTAAACATGCATTATCATCTCACTTTCAACTGGTCTGCACTTGTTATAACTGATATTGTGAAACTGATTTGCTCGACTGTCTCAAATTGTAATGATTGTATGCATTGCTTGAATTTCACTTAACAGACTGTACGTGGTTTGTCTTGTGTGTCATGTTTTGCTTTTTGTCTTTTTGTTTATGTATGTCTGTAAGTTGTTGCTATTGTCGGGACCCCCTTGAAAACGAGATGGTGCATCTCAAGGGGTTTATGCAATGAATAACAATTTCTATATATATCTTTGTTTAGTATAGAAATAGAACATAGAAATGAACAGAATAAGTTAGAATAAATTAGAAGACTTACCAGCTTCTAAAGAAAGTATAAACATAGGATATATACATAATAAAGTATACAAAGTAGTCGCAGTAATTTAACTTTTAACAAACTCAACATACTTGTACTTTTACTTCTACTCCACGACATTTTGGAGGTAAATATCTTACTAATTACTCGAGTACATTTACTGTAATATTCATAATAATAATAGATTTAATTGATGTAGCTTCTTCAAGGGACCCAAGGCCTCTTTCATGAGGTAAGGACAAACAACAAAACAAACAAACAAAGTAAGGCAAATAATTAAGTAAATTAAATAAATAGCAGTAGGAGTGGAAACAGGGTGACTGTGATGGGTTAGGGGTCAAAGTTCACGGTGAACAGGTGAGTTTTTATCCTCTCGCCCCTTTTGAACATGGATTTCTTTTTTTATACCTTGAACGTTACATTTTAAATCTATTTGAATAACATTTTATTATCAATTTATTTTGTTCTTCATGGTTGCAATACTTGCCTTTGGAGTAATTCCTTCAGATTCAGAGATTGAGACTCTTTGTTTTTTATATATATATTACAGGTCTCAGATATATACAAAACATGTCTCTGAAGTGTTTGGCTCCAAACACCAAACAGATCGTTGCAGCATTACCCATAATCCCCTCTGTTTCAGCCCTGTTTCCAAAGTGCTGATTCTCTGTCTGTTACTTTAGATGAAAATAAGGAGCCGCTCCCCACGCCCCTCTGAGAGAGCATTTGGTTACAAAGAACTCAATGGTGCTCTAGGAGGAGATTCAGGTGATAAGGTGGGGGGGGGGGGGGTTACCTTGGTTGCTGATTGGCTAATGGTTACACAAGCCAACAAATCGTTATGACATCATAAAGTGGCCAAAATCTGATCGGCTCATTTTCAGACAGGTTTTTATATAAATGGATCAAAAATAGAGAAAATCTTTGTTCCTGAAACTTTCAGAGTCTCTTTCCACAGAGGGGACACATGTTGATGTAGAAGAGACATGAAGAAGAGGGGACACATGTTGATGTAGAAGAGACATGAAGAAGAGGGGACACATGTTGATGTAGAAGAGACATGAAGAAGAGGGGACACATGTTGATGTAGAAGAGACATGAAGAAGAGGGGACACATGTTGATGTAGAAGAGACATGAAGAAGAGATGACACATGTTGATGTAGAAGAGACATGAAGAAGATGGGACACATGTTGATGTAAAGGAGACATGAAGAAGAGAGGACACATGTTGATGTAGAAGAGACATGAAGAAGATGGGACACATGTTGATATAGAGGAGACATGAAGAAGATGGGACACATGTTGATGTAGAGGAGACATGAAGAAGAGGGGACACATGTTGATGTAGAGGAGACATGAAGAAGAGAGGACACATGTTGATGTAGAAGAGACATGAAGAAGATGGGACACATGTTGATGTAGAGGAGACATGAAGAAGAGATGACACATGTTGATGTAGAAGAGACATGAAGAAGAGGGGACACATGTTGATGTAGAAGAGACATGAAGAAGATGGGACACATGTTGATATAGAGGAGACATGAAGAAGATGGGACACATGTTGATATAGAGGAGACATGAAGAAGATGGGACACATGTTGATGTAGAGGAGACATGAAGAAGAGAGGACACATGTTGATGTAGAGGAGACATGAAGAAGAGGGGACACATGTTGATGTAGAAGAGACATGGAGAAGAGGGGACACATGTTGATGTAGAAGAGACATGAAGAAGAGGGGACACATGTTGATGTAGAAGAGACATGAAGAAGAGGATTTTTCATGATAGGTCCCCTTTAAAAAGAACCAGCACTTCTTCCACCTCTACTCTCGTCTGGGTAACACATTCCCACCCCATCACACGGGTATTTGCTCTGGTTCTCATTGGATGTCGATCGTGCAAAACATTTGACCTAAATAGGGACTTAATAACCTGATTCAGATCAGGCGGGATCAGCGTCCGTTAATCCTGAGCGCCACATCTGGGAGCGAGCCTGGATCCTCTGCTGCTCCTCTGGGATCAACACAGAGATTTCAACTCTGAGCAGAAACTCTTGTAAGATTAACATTCTGCTTTTAATCCTTTCGCTTTTTGGTTTCATTTTTATACATGTAAGGCTGTCGGATAAAGTGACCTGCAGTGTGAGCGCGTATTGTGTTTTCAGAGAGATGTTTAAACTGCGTTGTCGAGCTGTTTGTGTTCATTTTGTGCAAAGGATATAATGTGTAGATGTGATTTGATATGACAGGGGGTGCCAAACTCCATATTTTGAAGGAGATGGACAACCAGATAAGGTTATAAGATAAGGTGTTCTTGAGTTTCTCTAAAGGCAAAGAGGAAGAAATACTTTTTTAATAAAATACTAAAACTGATTATCACATTGATTGATTTCTTGAATACTTACTTGAAGAAAGAGCCCCTTTTGTGTTTAAAGAGGCCATAATGTGCTTTTTGGGGTTTTACATACACTAGGTTTTAGTGCATGGACATTGGACTCCTTTGTTTACTTCTGTAACATTGTGACATCACTAAGTAACACTTGTGCTGCTATTGGTTAGCGCTTCAACAGATTGTACGTGATAGACTAAGGGGTCGGACATCTCTAAGCGGTTGACCAATCACAACAGAGCCGGCCAGCTAACCAATTAGAGCAGACTGAGCTCTGGTTTCAGACAGAGGGTGAAAAGAGGTGCTGCAGCACAGGCAGTAGGAGAACAATAAAGAGCTTTTTGAACATTAAAGCATGGAGACATGTAGAGACACTACATACTGATACACACCTGAACATCAGCAGGAGAGGACTCTTTAAAGTAGAGACACTACATACTGGTATACACCTGAACATCAGCAGGAGAGGACTCTTTAAAGTAGAGACACTACACACTGATATACACCTGAACATCAGCAGGAGAGGACTCTTTAAAGTAGAGACACTACATACTGATATACACCTGAACATCAGCAGGAGAGGACTCTTTAAAGTAGAGACACTACATACTGATATACACCTGGACATCAGCAGGAGAGGACTCTTTAAACAAGCATATATTTAATCTGCCTATATGTTAAATTGCATAATCTCCTGTTGACCAACTTGTAATTCCAATTTTCCTGAAAATATTCCAACTTCCATAGCTACTATAAACTAACCTTTCTGGGAAATTACGAGGGGTTTTACTAATACTGATGTAATGTTGTACTGCCTGTCCTCATAGAGTAGTTAATTTGTGGTGAAAGGTGGTAGATTATTAATGGGAAATATCACTGAGAGAGCCCCTTCACCTCGGTACCTTCTATGTGAAAGCATGGTTTTGTACATGTTTGAATACTATAGAAACATTGTGAGAGAAATTATCCAAAATGGCTTTTAAATGAGCCTTTTTAACCCTTGCAGGAACGCATTCATGCACTTTTCTCATTGTCTCGCTGCCCCGGCCCCTGCAGGTCCGCAAGCCCCCCCCCCCCCCTACTCACTGGATTATTTTACATCTTCAGAGGCCGACAAATGCTGCTGTCAATCACTCCTCTCCAGTCTCCACCGGGGCTTTGCATCTGGATCTTTTACGCGTCGCTCGGTCCACGCCCACCGGACTGCCCCCCTCCTCCTCACACACACACACACACACACACACACACACACACACACACACACACACACACACACACACACACACACACACACACACACACACACACAGGACTTTCTCTCTCCACAGCTTGGAGACCTGTCGTGCTCGCAACCCTTATCCTTAAATTACGGAGCTCCCAGTTTCCAAAATCCCACATTTTTCTCTTTCCACCCTTTTTTCCCAATGGCCTTGTTTTGGAGTGATTTGCGCACAGCAGCGCAATAGTTAACGAGTGCCGGATGCGCCCTCGCTCCAGCAGACCGCTACAGTACGAAGATGGCGTCGGAGGGAGCCAGTGGAGAGCAGCCTCCTCCGGTACAAACCCTGGCCACCGCCGTGCTGGGGAGTGTGGACACGGTAAGACATGGAGAGAGGCTTTTATTGTTATTGTTAGGTGGTGAAAAGACGAAGAAATGCCGGGCGCATCTCTATGGAGCAACAGCGGTGACAATGTCTGGAGAAAAACAAGGGGTTAGGTGTAGGGTGACTCAGAAATGCGACTCTCACACTAGGCAGTTGTTTGATCACATCTTAACATGATTTATTTTCGTGTCGTCTGCTTGTTTCGGATCGCAGAGGAACCGTGCAGTGTACTCCGGTTGTAGCTCAGATATAACACGGCTGTAAACGGGGTTCCTACGCAGAGACTTAGAGATGTGAGGCAGGCTGCAGGACGCTTACATCTGGAAATACGGGCTTTCTATCGCGGTCTGCTCCATGGAGAGACTGTATTCCTCCTATTTCATTTCTTTCACGTTATATTCACCTGGCTTGCAGAGCTGATTGTGGCATTGAAATGGTTCTTTATTTACTGAAGTGGTCCACAAAGCAGACCTACGTGATTCCTTACAGGCTTCCATAGTTTGTAAAAGCTCACCTTACAAAACCCTATACAGGTTGGGGGCATGGGGATTTATTTTAAAGTAGTCTTTTCGGTGAGTTTACACACACACAGTTGTGATTTCTCACAGGTTGCCTCATGAAAATAGAGGCTTCTCATCAAGGTTTGCTGTTGATTTGCTCCCTGAAAAGATTTTATTCCACCTTTTTTTATTTCTTGCACTTGATATTCACCTGCAGAGCTGATAGGGGAAAGAACATAGTTATTTCCTATTGTGGTTCACCACAAATCCGACCTACATGAGTCCTTAGGCTTCCATAGTTTGTAAAAGCTCACCTAACAAAGCCTTCCACTGATCACAGACCAAGTATTTCTTGAAAACTAGTCCCTTTTGTTGAGTTGTACCCAAACACAGCTTGCAGCATGACAACTGAGGCTTTTCAGTGGATGATTACTCTCTGAAAAAATCGTTTTGGAGCTGATTGTGGCATGAGAATGGTCTTTAATGAAGTCATTCTTGAAATAGTCCTTTTGTTGAGTTTGACCTGTTTACACACACATAGTTGTGATTTCTCACAGGTTGCAGCATGAAAATAGACGTTTTTTTCTCCAGGTTTGTGGTTGATTTGCTTCCTCAAAATAAAAAGTTTTCTTGCATATAATATTCAGCTGTCTTGTAGAGCTGATTGTGGCATGAAAATGTTTATTTACTGAAGTGGTCCTCCTCCAATGATTCCTTACAGCCTTGTAACAGATAGCTCTACACAGGTTAACACATATTTTTGTACCATTGACTCAAGACAACTCAAAGTAATCCTTGAAAACTAGTCATTTTCTTGATTTGCACACGTTTACATACACATAGTTGTGATTTCAGCCTTAAAAAAATAGGATTTGTATCCACGTTTGTAGTTGATATGCTCCCTGAAAAGCCTGCAGAGCTGATTGTGGCACGAAAAGCTTATTTTCTGAAGTGATGATCCTCCAATGATTGCTTACAGGCTTCCGTAGTTTCTATCAGCTCACCTAACAAAGCCCTCTGCAGGTTTACACTGATTGTCAGACCATACAGTCAAGACAGCTCAGGGTATTTTCAGTCCCTTTGTTGAGTTTAACATGTTTACACGCACATAGTTGTGATTTCTCTCAGGTTGTGCCAGGCAGCGGCTCAACATCCCTCTGTGCAAAGTGATCAATCACTTGCTCCGTACGCTGTGAGGTCATGAAACCCCCCCCCATGATGTCAGACTGTTGTTATCCACCTGACACCTGAAAGGATTTTATTCCACCTTTTTTTTATTTCTTGCACATGATATTCACCTGCAGAGCTGATTAGGGAAAGAACATTGTTACTGAAGTGGTTCACCACAAACCAGACCTACATGAGTCCTTACAGGCTTCCATCGTTTGTAAAAGCTCACCATACTCAAGACAACGTTATTTCTTTAAAAGTAGTTGATTTGTTGAGTATTACATGCAGATGTTCACCTTTGCTTGCAGAGCTGATTGTGGCATTAAAATGGTTATTTGTTCAAGTGGTCCTTCTCGAATGTTGCCTTACAGGCTTCCGTAGTTTGTAAAAGCTCACCATGTACAGACTGTTGTTATCCACCTGATGCAAAAATGGGCCGTGATGCTTTTGCCACTCGAGTTTCTGTCCTCGTTCTTTTTTGTTTGAACTCTTGTGTGCAATACCAACACAAACTCTCTTTAAAAAAGAGGTGGGCTGGCGATAGAAGCAGTGCATTGTGGGGGTGTTGAGGTGGGGGTTAGCAGTGAGTTGAGGAGAGGTTGGTGGGAGAAAAATCTGCGGGGGTGGATGCAGGGCAGAATCAGAATACCTTTATCAGTTCCACAGAGGGAACATTTATGTTGTTACAGCAGAAAAGAGAGACAAACAAGTTTAAAGATGACCAAAAATACACAATTTACAAAATACACATCCTGTAACAGTTCTGAAGAACGAAGAAGGTGGGAGAGGGGGGGGGGGCTGTTCACCAGACACCTTTCTAAATTGGTCTTAATTTCAGTGACTCAGCTGGCATAGCTGGGAGTACCATGTCAGCTCCCCCCCCTCTTCCGCGCTGCTTCGAGGCTACTTTACACAGAGATGGCAAAAGTACACACATCCTTTACTGAAGTAGAAGTACAGATACTCGTGTTTTAAAATACTCTGGTAAAAGTAGAAGTACTGACTAAACCTATTTTTTATCAAGGTTTGTTGTTTACTGCTCCCTGAAAAGATTTTACTCCACCTTTCTTTTTCTTGCAAGTATATACACCTTTTGCTTGCAGAGCTGATTGTGGCATTGCAATGGTTCTTTCTGTAAGTGGTCCTTCTCAAATGTTGCCTTACAGGCTTCTGTAGTTTGTAAAAGCTCTACTAACAAAAGCCTTTCATTGGTTGTCAGACCATTGACTCAAGACAACTCAAAGTAAATCTTGAAAACGAGTCCCTTTTGTTGAGTTCTACCCAAACACGGGTTGCAGCATGACAACCGAGGCTTTTTATCGAACTCAGTGGATGATTACTCGCTGCTAAAATTGTTATTTCAACCTTTTCTTGAGCTGATTGTGGCATGAGATGAGAATGATAATTGAATGAAGTCATTCTTGAAATGTAGTCCTTTTGTTGAGTTGTACATGTGTACACACACATAGTTGTGATTTCTCACAGGTAGCAGCATGAAAATAGAGGGGTTTTATCGAAGGTTTGTGATTGATGTGCTCCCTAAAAATATGTATGTGTTGCTTTTCATATTCAGCTGGCGTGCAGAGCTGATTGTGGCATGAGAATATTTATATACTGAAGTGGTCCTCCTCCGATGAGTCCTTACAGGCTTCCATAGTTTGTAACAGTTCCTCTTACAAAGCCCTACACGGGTTAACACTGATTTTTGGACCATTGACTCAAAACTAGAGAGAGAACTACTTTAAATTGTTTAATGAATGAATTATTATTTTTATTTCTGTCTTCCCTTCACTATTGAATTGTACTATCGCTTTGGCAATAGTGTTCACCTGACATTCAAGCCAATAGAGCATATTGAATTGAGAGAGAGAGAGAGAGAACCTTGCTCTACTGCGCTGCTTCAAGGCGACTTCACATCCAGCAGAGAGGTGAACAGGTTCTCTGGAGACATGGAGACTCCTCAGCGTCCGTACATCTCAATCTCTCCTTTCTCCAGGATCCAACTTCCTCCTTTTTGCACCCCCCCCCCCCTCCCAGCTAAATTAAGCTCTTTGCTCTTTGCTCACCCCTGTCAGACTCTCTGTTGTTGGCGGGGGGGGGGGAGTTTCTCATTTGAAAGGACTCAGAAGGGCCGACCCTCATAGTCCAGAGAGGGGTCAGAGGTCAATGAAAGAAAGCCCACCTCGTTTGCACAGCTCATCTGCAGCCTTTTGTGATGAAGTAAACAACATTTTTTGTAGATAATGAGTTGAGTTTTCGTCCTTTAGGTGGAGGAAAATAAAGAAAACCCTCCTGTTTCCAACGCACCGTGGCCTGCTATATTTTACCATGTTTTTTAACGTTATTATAGTTTTCTTAAAATAGTTTTCTATCTGTGTTTTACATTTTTGTTTTACTTTTATGTATGCACCACGACACCAAGTCAAATTCCTCGTACGTGTCAACCTACCTGGTAATCAACCCGTTTCTGATTCATGTTTGGTCAGATCTCACGTTTTGATTTCATGTTGCCGTAATCCTCGTCCGTAGAAGCCGATGCAGTTGCTCTTGCAATGGTTTCGCTTTTTAAAAGTTTTCTTCTTGCAGGTTTCTTGCTATTTTGAGTACTTCATGGTTGATTTCACATTGTTGGCAGCAACAGCTTACGCTTAATGAAATGTGTAGAAAGGTCTGTTAATGCAAGGCTAGTTTCAGCACATTTCAACAAGGCAAGTGGAATTACTGAAACGACTTTAAAAGCATTAGAATATAATGCAAATGACAATTAAGTGACTATCGGAGGTGACATAAGGGCCCACTGATAAACGTATGGCATCGTTTATATATTTGAAGTAGGGCTACACTATTTATGTAAGGCTAACTTATGTTAAAATGCTATTTGTAATGTAATATTGTGAGTGCAGAGAAGTCCTGGCCTACAAATCGTTTTCTCTCAAACATTTAACATATGGAGAATTATTTTTGCAATATCGTGAATCCTATCGCAATTACAATATTAGTCAAAACACAATTTGTTATTCTTCCAAATTGTGCAGCCCTTCTCTGCAGAATTATAAACAATTCATCTCAGTTTTTATCCGTTGTGCATACACATAAAAATGCTGTATACCATGAACACAATTCTCAAAACGTGTCCATTGTTTGTCTCAATCAACTTGGACTGAAATCTTAAGCCTTGTCTCTTTTTTTTGTTTTAAATGAAGGCGATCTGAGGCAACATTATAAGGCCAAGAAACCCAATAGGTCACATGATTAAGATATTTCTTTGGTTTACCTTTCAATGTTTGCAAGTGACTAAAGGCTCAAATAGCTACCTGTAATGTA